CATTCTCTCCGGTTGGCTATATGAAAACGTGGACCTAATATGATATGTTCCGCCACCGGAACTAGAAACCATTACGATCTAAAAATACAGAATATCCGGAGGCACCATTATGTGGGGGCTATACGAAAACCTGGACCTATGCATACTATGTTCTGCCACAGAAGCTAGAACCCATTACGAATATCAAAACACCCAATATCGGGAGTTATGGTTATATGGGGGGCTATACCAAAACGTGGGCCTATATTTACTATGTTCCGCCACCAGAACTAGAGCCTATTACGATCTACAAATATCAATTTTTATGCCATCAATTCTGTTCCATTCGCGTAACAATCGATACCCTTTACTCAAAACTTCACGATCTTAGCTTCAAATATATTTCCAAATGGCAAAGGCGTGGAGTATATTTCTGAAAGCTAAGCATTGCTCAGAGTTGGATAAACATTATTTCCTTATCTAAGTTTCGTGTTTAAACTTTCTTCTACATGTTACCGAAATTTCATTGCATTTTTCGTATACTCAAATGAAATTGCATTACGTCACTGTTACAAATATTTCCGCTTTCATGATTATATGTGAGTATTTCAGAGAAATATGAAAGACGAAGGCGAAGAAGAAAAAATATAAATTATAGCTTTTTAAATGTGGCGGCGAGACGCGCATACAAAAACGATAACAACGCTCTACAAAAGACGAGCGAGAGAAAAAAAAAATAGAAAAACGAAGACCACAAATAATGACTTTATGAAATTTGTGGTGGAAGCGAAAAAAATACTCAAAAACAAAAAACGAATCAAAGCGTTTAGAACGCGTGCTGCTCATTTTCTAATGCCAATGACGCCTGCCGCCCCTCAACCCAAAAACCAAACCAACTGGCATTTTTTTTTTTTTTTTTTTTTTTGTTATTTTGTTGTTTGCAACATTTATGAATAGAAAAAAATCTATGATGGAGCAAAACGGAGATCATCATCTCCAATGAACGGCAAGGGATTTTTTTCCACATTTGTGGTTGGGCTGTGTGTGCTCCGCTCCCTCCATCCATCATTGAGAGGATATTTCATTGCGCCTCCAATAACTTGCGTACATTTGTTTCAGTTGTGGTCTAATTTGGAAATTATGTCGTAATTAAAATACAAAACAAAAACAATGTATTTTTGTTGTGGTTGTTGTTCTTGAAGGGATGTGAGAAATAAGGGGATTTATGATGCATGAACAATTTTGGAACAAAAAAAAAAAGAAGTTCCCATAAAATCCACCGGTGTGAAATTTAAGCAACGAATGTTGATGAAAGTGTTATAATATGCATCAGAATGAGGAGGGGTAATATAAAATATTGGATCCACAATTATTTCTTCTACGAATAAGTTAAAATTTTTGAATATTCTAGATCCAATTTCAATGTAATTCTCTGAAACAATTAACAAAACAATGAAAAAACGAGTAAAGAAAGACCTAAAGTCGGGCGGGGCCGACTTTATGATAACCTACACCACCTTGCTAATTTTGTAGAGCTCCACATAACATTTTTGGAGAATTCAATCATACACGCTATGATTATAATTGTAATTTAAAGTTCAAAGGACTAAATATGCCCAAGCATTTGTATCTTTTAAATTCGGACTTTGAAATCAGATAAAGATATATATGGGAGCTATATCCAAATCTGAACCGAACTCGATAAAATTTGGCAAAGATATTTCTGAGCTGTATTTGATATATTTCCCTGAATATCGTTGTTACGTAGTGCATATTTCGGCTGTTGGTAACAAATACAACAAATCGGATGAACAATATATATGGGGGCTATAGCTATATCTGAACCGATCTTCACCAAATTTGGCATACTAGCTTCTAGACTCAATTCGGTCGCATGTGCCAAATTCCATCCCATTTGGGCAAATATTAGAAGTTTGTTGTACAATAAAAGGTAAATCGGACGAAGTTATATATGGGAGCTATATCCAAATCTGAACCGATCTCGATAAAATTTTGCAAAGGTATTTCTGAGCTGCATTTGATATATTTCCCCAAATATTGTTGTTACAGAGTGCATATTACCGCTGCGGAGGACAAAAATAACAAATCGGATGAACAATATATATGAGAGCTATAGCTATATCTGAACTGATTTCGATCAAATTTGGCATACTTATTTTCAAGCCTATTTTAGTTGTTTGTGCAAAATTCCATACAATTCGGGCTGATATTACACTTTTGGTGCACCATAAAAGGAAAATCGGACGAAGATATATATATGGGAGCTATATCTAATTTTTTAGCGATTATCTCCAATTTCAATAGGGTTAGTCCTTGGGCCAAACAAATGTTGTTTGGAAAATTTCATCCCAATCAGATAATAAATGCGACCTGCATTTTGTTCACAAGAATACATGGACAGACAGACGGATTGACATGCATAAATCAACGCAGAAAATGATTCTATAGAGATCCTTAAAAGTAACTATGGGTCTATCTCGCTTCCTTCTCCATGTTACAAACAAATGCACAAAAACATAATACCCTTACCACTATGTGGTGTAGGGTATAATTATAATAAAAAATTGCAGCCAATTAAAAAAGTGGCTAAATTTGCCGGGCGGGCGAACCATTTGGAAGGAATTTGGACATTTTTTTAAAAAAAGTTAAAAAATACTGTTAGGAATCATGAAATATAGGGAGTTACTGTTATATAAGGGTCTATACGAAGACGTGAATCCGCGTAAGTTAGCCCTTGCAATATTCAAATACAAAACTTGAAAAAAGTCCTTTAGATAATGTCGCAAAAACATCAAAAGACCCAATATAGGGAGGTAACGTTATAGCTATTAGTACCCAAAAATCAACCAAATTTCGAATTTAGGGAGATACCGCTATATAAAGGCTATACAAGAACGTGGACCTTTTCCTACCATAGGCTGTAGTACCCATTAGGAACTCCAAACGCGAAATTTGAAACAATTCTGGTGAATATTGTCGCTAAAATCAGCCAAATACCGAATAAAAGCAGGTACCTCATATGGGGGCTTTACCAAAACGTGTAGCTATATAGCCCATTTCCATTATCAAAAGTCCCGAAGACCAAACACACATCTGAGTAAAATTTTATCAACCTACTTCAATTCGTCCATGATTTTCACAGACGGAAGAACAGACAGACACATGGACGGACATCGTTAAATCGACATATAATTTTATTCTGATCAAGAATATATATTCTTTTTAGGGTAAAAGTGTATATGTCGAGGGGTTACAAATGGAATGACAAGCTCAATATAACTTCCATACTATGGTGGAGGGTATAAAAAAGGGTTTTTATATCGACAATATCGGGTCAATGTCCTTCTGGTACCTCCCCCACAAAAGGTCAACATTTTAAATAGCCATAAAGCTCATAAAACTCGAAAGGAGCATCCGATAACTTTCAAACTAAACAAATCTCAATATTTTTTATCAACATGCACAAAATGGAATATATCGGACTACTCCTTCTGATACCTCCACCACAACGTTTAAACCGCATGAAATTCAAAATAAGAATGGTATCTTTTGCACACTTCATGCATTCCAATATGTTTTTATTGAAATAAGATCTGTTGTGAAGATGTTAGATATCGGCCCACACCTTCTGGTACCTCCCTCCAACCTCCTCTCATAGCTTGCGAAACAAGTCATCGATTCTTTTCAAACTTGGGATTTGTAAATATGGAATTTAACGGCACATCCCTAAAAAGGTTAGCATTTTCTTTAAATTCTTTACATCCCAATCTCTTTGGTAAATGTGCGATTCTTGTTGCACACATAACTTCATTTTGTCTACTTTCCGATATAATAAAGTTTCATATTTTTTATACCCTACACCACACTGTAATAATACCCTGATGTCTTTGTACATTTGTTTGTAACATGCATAAGGAAGCGAGATAGAGCCGTAGTTCCTTTTAATGATCTGCATAGAATCACATTCTGATTTCCGTCCATCCGTCTGTTCATGTATTTTTGTAAACAAAGTCAAAGTACAAGTCGCATTTATTGTCTAATCGAGATAAAATTTTGCACAAAATTCTTTTTAGGCCCAAGGACGAACCCTATAAAAATGACCTGAATTTTGATATATCCGACCGAATTCAAGAATTCAAGTGCATCGAATTCGGAGAAAATCGGTGCAGAAATGGCTATAGCTTCTATATATAGGTTTCATCCGATTTGATGTTTAAGTCCCTCACATTCGCAATATGCACCCCACAAGAATGATGGTTGGTATCAGATATCAAATACAACCCAGAAATACCTCTGCAAATTGTATCAAGATCAGATTTCGATATAGCTCCCATATAAATCTTCAACCAATTTCGGGTTAAATGGCCGAAATTTGTCCAAAAGTCCTGAATTTTGGTACATAAAACTTGGTGAAAATCGGTTCAGATATTGCTATAGGTGCCATATATACGTTTCATCCGATTTGGTGTTCGAGTCCCTCACATTCGCCCAAAAATACCTCCGCCAAATTTTATCAAGATCGATTTAGATTTGGATATAGCTCCCATAGATATCTTCAACCGATTTCGCGATAATTGTGCACCAAATGACCAATATGAGTTCAAATGGCCTGAATTTTGGCAAATCCGACCGAATTCTGTCTAGAACAAGTTCATCAAATTTGGATTAAAATGTCTCCGTCAAATTTAGTAAAAATCGATGAAGAAATGTTCATAGGTGGTACGATCTACTTCAAATAAATTCTGCTAAATATGCATTTGATGCATAGTGGGGTAGGGTATCATATAGTCGGACCACCCGACTTTTGACTTTTCCTTACTGGCTTTTTCATAGCATTTATAAAGTTTATCAATTAAACTCAATTTTCAATTGGCAAATCAAAAACCCGAGTTACCATCACAAGGCTTCATTCACAGCAACATCATTCATTACGAAGTATAGCAGATAATTGTTAATTACATAAAGAAAAAAAAACTACATATTTCAGTCGTGAAACTTACCTGATGCAAAGCTGTCAATCCATCAACATTGGCGGTATTTATGTCAGCACCCTGTTCGAGCAGTTTCAAAACCTCCTCTTTATCGCCGGCCAAACAGGCGGCCAAAAATATACAACCCGATGAGAATTTGATGCGGCTGCCGCGATCTGGCCGCGGTACGGGCGGCTGTTGATTTGTATCGGACTCTTCCCAGCGTTTGAGCTGTTCGGCACGTTTCATAACGGCCGAATTATTGCGTATATCTAAAGATGTCATCTTGGATCTTTAGCACGGCGATGATGGCGACGATGGTGATGCTGGTAATGCTGCTGCTGCTGCTGACGAGAATGAAGCTGATGGGGATGATGAATGTCTATGATGTGAATTTCGTTGATGGCTCTCGGTTGCTGATGATGTTGAAAATGGGATGGGGATTTTAACGCACTGCAATGTGGCGTTAATGTTGTTTGTTGTTCTTGTTATTGTTACTGTCGCAAACAATTTGTACAGTGCGACACAGTCTGGCGGGCGGGCGGGCTGACTGATAGGCTGGCTGGCGGTGCGTTATCCCCTTGGATAATAATTAAATATCAAGAGGCACGCAATAATGCACTTGCATTCACAGACACACACACGCTCATACACGCACGCAGGCACACACACACACAGGGAGTGTAAAACAAATTAACACTATGTGCGAGATTTGCCAAAAGGCGGGTTGGCTGACAGGTCGGTTAGTTGCTTGATGTTTTGGTTGTAAAATTCCTTTTCTTTTATTATTTTTTTTTTTTGATTTTGTTTATTGGGTCACTTCTTTTCAATGAATATTAATATTATTATTATTATTACTACTGTTTTTTGGTCACAATAACAATTTGTCACTAAAATTTCTTTCAATTACACGCTATTCTTTCTTTTCTTTCTTTTGTGTGGATTTATAATTTTTTATTCTTGTATCTTTTGTTTTCTTTTGCCGTTTCTTCTTTCCTCACTGCAAAGGAAAAAATAAAATGAATATAAATGAAATATTTTTTTTTTGAAAACATATGGCCATATTTCATTATCATTATGAAATTAAAATTCAAAAAAAAAATAGATAAATTGTTTCTTTCTTTTTTCCTTTTGTTTGTCGATTTAACACAGCCGCACAAAATTAATTTTGACAGTTGGCTCCGTCGCTATTTTTTTTATTTCAGAATCCATTTTCAATGTTTTCCTTATTATTTTTGTTTATTTTGTTTTTGAAATTTATCTATTTAACCGCTATGCTCAATTCAAATAATTCTCACTGCTCTCTTTCTCTCTTTCTCCCTTTCTTGTCTCTCAGTCTCTTTTTACTGGAAATATATTATTTCGATGTTGCCAGATTAAAAGAAAAAGCTATCAGCCTTTGACATTTGACAATATTCTGACCAAAATAGCAATCAATGGAAAATACAATATGAAAGGGAATATATGAATATTTTAATCGAAAATTAAAAGGACAAAAAAAGCATCGAATGAAAATTTGTAATTTTTAATATTGTACCTTCCACCATACTTTAAGTTTGTCATTTCATTTTAGCTCCTCTAAAGAAGTATTTTAGACTTCACAAAGTATATATATTGTTGATCAGCATAATAATTTAATGCAACGATCTAGCTATGTTCGTTGGTCTGTATGTCTGTCTGTGGAACGATACACCCCGATTTTACATATTTTTATGGCATTTCAGTCAAACTTGGCGACCGAATTTGATGTAAAAGGCATTTTGTGTTCCCAACGAACAAAAAACATTCTTGCAAAGAACTGTCCATACCTCCCGATACACTATATTGTACACATTTTAAACTGATTTTTCTCAAAGTTGGAAACTAGGAATTGCGATTGGTCCCACCATCCCCGGCTGATTATAATCATCGATGCAGATCCACGTTTTTGGTATTTATGTGACTTTAGATACATTTTTCAAAGGATTTTTTCTCAAAGCATGTGGGGTATTGGGCCATACCGTCGCTGATTACTAATTGTCTATGCAAACCTACGTTTTCTTTTCTGCTGCTTTTTTTAATTTTTACAGCTACATTATTCAATGTTTTTATACCTTTATAGTGGTAAGGGCATTGTCTTATGTCTTTGTGCATTTATTTGTACTTGGAGAACGAAGTCATATAGACCCATAGTTACTTTTGAATCACTTTCTGAGTCAATTAATGCATGTCAATCAATCCGTTTGTCCGTCCGTCTGTCCATGTATTTATGTGAACAAAAAGCAGTTCGCATTTATTATTCGATTGAGATATTTTCCAAACAATATTTGTTTGACCCAATGACGAACCCTATTGAAATTGGTGAGAATCGGTTGGAATTTATATATAGCTCCCACATATATATCTTCAACCGATTTTGGGTTAATTGTGGCCAAATGGACAATATCAGTCCAAATATCCTGAATTTTGGCACATCCGACCAAATTAAGTCTAGAGGCAAGTACATTAATATATAGCTAAAGCTCCCATATATATGTTTCATCCGATTTTGTGTTTAAGTCCATCACATTCATACTATGCATTCGACAACAACGATATTTGGTACCAGATATCTTGAGAAGCTCAAGAATACCTCTGCCAAATTTTATCGAGATCGGGTCAGCTTTGGATATAGCTCCCATATTTCTTCAACCAATTTCGGGTTAATCGTGGACCAAATTTCCATCCAAATGACCTGAAATTTGGCACATCCGACCGAATTCAGTCTAGAAGCCAGTACACCCAATTTGGAGAAAATATGTTCAGACAAGGCTATAGTCGCCGAAATAAGGCAAATATTTCAAATAAAACCGTACATAAGTTTATTTACATGAGGAGTCATATTTTCAGTCAGCATTATTACTTTATGCAGTTTCAAGAAAAAATTGAAGTGTAAACATCTGGCAACGCTGACACATATATTTCGCCAAAAAAATAGGAGAATGAGAGATCACACAGAAAGTAAACATTGAGCAGCATGAATTTTCTTTTTCTTATAAGCTTTTCAAAATAACACTTCTTATTGGGAGGTTGTTCTTGTTCTCTCAACTCTACTCATTTTCTATCCCACTTTGGGAATTTTTGTTTTCTCTCCCTATCTCCCGCTCTTCAACGTATGTATTTTTTTTATATCGATTCTTTTGCACTTTTTTAATCCGTTTTTGGTATTGATCTCCTTGGATTTTTCCTCCTCAGTTGTGTTGTGTTGCTGTGGTTGGGTGTATTTTTTTTTTTTCATTTTATTTTTCAACTTTTCACTTCACTGCATTTTTCTATTGTATTTGAAAATTGATATATTTATTAGTGGAAGAAAATTGAAAATTGCAAACAAACAATAAATAAATAATCTCATTATAAAATCAGATAAAGATATTTTTTCTTAATATTTGCAAAAAATTTAAATTAATTTTGGTTAATTTTTTCACAATTATCATCACTCAACATTTCTGATTCCACTGACCATCTTAAAACAAAAACACAAAGAAAAATACAACACCAAGAACAAAAAAAAAAATATCTCTTATAAGAAATTTTCAAAATGAAAAATTTTAGACAAAAATTTTTTTCAAGTCATCGAGAAAACGCGACGCACACAACAACAATGTAGCCTTTTTCTTTTGCAATGGAAAACCCGACCGACATACGTTTGTGCGGCTAGCTGGGTTAGACTGACTGATTGGGTTGGTTGGTTGGCTGGCTCGCTGACTGGCCGTTGGAATTGATCTAAAAAGCGCAATTTTCCCCCTCTTTTAGAGCAGCAAGAAAGAAAACAAAAATGAGCTACACAAAATACGCACAACAACAGCCAATGAATGTTATGGTTGGTTGTTGTAGGCCCCAAAACGTAACGAAAGCGTTTCGATGAAAATCATTTGGTTGTTTGTTTTTTTTCTCAAAGCAGAGAAATAAAGCTTCATCTCTTTTGCTGCGCTCTCAACGGTTCTATACTCTTCTATAGAATTCTAGTTGCTATTCTCTCTCGTCTCGTCTAAGATTAGGGTTGCCATGGTATTAAAATCACACACATTGAGATGGAGTCGAGCTAGACCCATAGCTACTTTCGATAAACTCCATAGAAACTTTAATGGATTTATACAAGGTGCAGCAAAAATAATCCTCCTATCCGAAAATGCTATACATTTTACGATTTGCCCCTAATGCGATATACACGTTAATAAACAATGTTACGCTACACTGCTTAAGAACATGGAATATTGGTGACTATTTTTTTGACCAACAATTGGTCGGTGACTTTGGCACAACGTGAATTTCGTCGCAGATTTCCTGGCCGTTCAATGCCTACTGGTGAGACACTGCGACGTTTAACCGCTTGCCTCGAAGAGACTGACACAACAAAAGATGAAGCCAGGCGTGGCAGAGAATACTGCTACTGCGTCTAAATATACCATCCTTAAAACATAATAACATCCATCTTAGCGGGTGCATAAATAAGCAAAATTTATGCCACGTACAGGGTGAGATAAAAAAACTGCATCAAAGTCAAATGCCATAATTTTTACATTTTTTTAATTGTATTGAATAAAAGCAAAAAATTTCGGAAATAGCATCCAATTTTAATATAAGTTTAGATTTGTTCGAATTGGTCGCCTTTGGCACAAATTATGGCCTTCAAACGGCCAACGAAACCGTCACACGCTGCCCGAATGCTGCTCTACGGTATTTTGGCCCATTCCTGGGGAAGCTCTTGCTTGAGAAACTTTTTTAGAGCCAACCTTGCATTCCAGAATATTTTCGCGGTAATATTCGACATTTATTCTGATGCCACGGTTGATTAATACGAGCGGAGAGCGACCATCGGCTGTTATGGCGGCGCACACCATCACCATGGCCGGCGCTTGAGATCTGGTGGCCAACCGAAGGTGCACATTTTCAGCTGACCTCTTTGGCAAGTAAACACGATAATTTTGCTTGTTTACAAACTGCTGGACAAATAATGTTTTCTCATCGGAGAAAACAAAATTCGGCAGTACACAACTTTTGGCCAAGCGAAGCAACTTTTTAGCAGCTATGAGTCTATTTTCCTTCTGTTGCGGTGTAAGTTCTTACACTTTTTGTAATTTCAATGGCCTTACACCGAGCTCATTTTTAAGTATTTGCCGAATGTAATATGTTCAGAAACAAGCCATTTTTCGGCCACTGTGGCGTGGGTTTCGATCAAGTCAGGAATAACTTTTCTCTGGAAAGTTCTCACCAAAATGCTTTTTACGCTTGTCAATGCTTTAATGAGTTGTCACTTAAATAATTTTAACAGCTGTCAGACGAATGGCTTAGAAATGACAGCAGTATGAAGTTGGTTGCAGTTTTTTCATCTCACCCAGAAGCAAAATTCAAATCTGAACTAAAATTGGCAAAGATATTTCTGAGATGTAGCTGATATTTTTCGCCGAATATCATTGTTATGGAGTGCATATTACGGCTGTGGAGGAAAAATTTAATAAATCGGATGAAGAATATACATGGAAGATATAGCTTATCTGAAGCGATTTCCACCAAATTTGACACACTTCCACCAATTTGGCCAAATATTGCACGTTTGGTGCACAATAAGAAGCTAATCGGACGAAGATATATATGAGAGCTATATGTTGTAATTTTGACCGATTATCTCCAATTTAAATAGAGTTCGTCTGTGGGCGCAACCAACGATTAGGGTAAACTATTATCTCGATCAGGCATTAAATGCGACCTGTATATTCTTTACAAAAATACATGTAATACATGCTTGGAACCCTGTTCCAACTGTCCGTCCGGCAATGTCTTTTCAATGTAGACATGATCGTTATACGTGGATTTTAAAGAATAATTTTACTATTTCCTTTTTGTCTGAAATTTTGTTGATAATTAATCGTAGGTTCTTTATTGCGTTTTCAAAAATACCAACTCTATGACAAAATTTCTTAAATCCGTTTTTTTAGGAATAGTGTAATTGCGTGCTCATTTCCCATCTTTTTAAATCTTTTA